TGCACTATTTTTTAATCAGATTATTAAATTCACATAAAAATTGAAAGGAATTTGTGAATAATTTGTTTAAAATTAGAGATTAGTGAAGAAATATTTAAAAAAATAGAAGTTTATAGTGTTTAATTTGGTTTGGTTTATTTTTCAAACTTTTGTTTTGAATTTTTTTATTTTCAGGTTTTTTTGTTTTTATCTTTGACACTTTTTTTAATAGCCCTTTTATTATCTTTTTAGATTCATTTAATTTAATACTTTTTTATTTTATCTAAATACACTTAGAAAATAATTTGTTGTGTATTCTTTTTGGAAAAAATTATTAATATTAAATAATAATAATAACAAAACATATTATAATAAAAAATCAGTATATATTTGAATTTGTAATTTTTTTATCAATATTTTATTTTTTTAATTCTATTTAGATTATTAGATATTAGATTTTCATATAAAAGTATAATTTAAATATAAAATATGAATAAATTTCACTATCTTTAATCACCAAAAACTGAGAAAATATGAAAAATCAAAAACTGAATAACAAATTAAAAAATAAACCAATGAAAGTGGTTCTTGTTTAGAATTTTTCCATCATCTATTGGTTATTAAATTACCATGTAAAATATTAAAATTCATAGAATATAATTTAAACAAAAAGAAAGTGTATGAAGATAAAATGTGAATTTTTGAGATGTAAAACAAATCTCTATTTTAAAAACGCATGCACTTTCCTCTGTTTGGATTCGAACGAATGCATACAGCTTTAAAATTCAACCAAAATTATTCACAGTGATATGATCCATGATGGACAATTGTAAATATTTTGTATATCATCATAGAATCAGACACAGGAAATAAAAAAAAAAGAGTAATTATTTTTTGTTCAATCATCATCAATATAAAAAATAGAGAAACAACTTTTTTATTTTTTATTAATTATTATTTATTTATAAGAAGGAAGACGGTTTGTTTATATTTATATAAGACTCTTGAAAGAAGATATATCATTTTTGAGTGTTCAACTCTAAAAATAAAGAGACAGTTGGTTTATATAGGACTCTTCATGACTTTTAGAAAATATAGTAGATTTGAAAGAGTAAAATTGGGATTTAAAAAAAAATAGAAGATATGGCAGGTTGTTCATACTTTTGTAATAGTAGTAGATTAATTTTCTTTATGGGTAGTTTAGATTAATTAGAAGTCCTTTAAATAGTAGATTTAAACTATGAAGCACGGACACCTCTCCGAGGGCTCCGTACTAGTGTCGGACACGGACACGTGTCAGACACGCGGTGGACACGTGTCCGACACGTAGCAGAGAGTGTCCCATTTTTTTTTTTTTTAATTTTTTTACATCCGGACACGTTCCAGACACGTTATAGACACTTTCGGGACACGCTCAGGGGTAATTTCACAATTTACAAAAAAAAATTGGGGTCGATTTGTAAATAAGTAAAAATAGATCAACATTTGCCCTAATCTACTTCGATTAGAACAGAGAAAGGGTGAAAAAGAGAAGACTTGGTCGATTCGTCGTTCGTCGTTTGTCTTCGCTTCTCATCGGTCGTCACTCGTGTCTCGTCGTCGCTCGTTAAGGTACACGTTGCTCTTCTTCTTCGATCTTCATTCTTCTTCTTCTTCTTCTTCTTCTTCGATCTTCATTATTCTTCTTCTTCTTCGATCTTCATTATTCTTCTTCTTTTCCTCAGTCGCGCTCTCTCTGTCTCTTTCTGTCTGATCTTCTTTACTCAGTCGTTGTCTCTCTCTCTCTCTCTTAGCCTTTGTTTTTTGATTTTATTTTATCTTTTCTTTTCTTTTCTTTTTTCTTTTATTCTGATTTTATTTTTTCTTTTCTTTTCTTTTATTTTTTCTTTTATATTCTGATTTTATTTTTTCTTTTCTATTAGTTGAGTATATAATTTTAATAATGTATGTTTATTAATTTTATTATAGGAACCAATTTTTAATTCTGAAACAATGGCTACGGGTGGTAGTTCTAATGATATACCTGATGATGATTTTGATGAGAACAAACCATTGTGGAAGTATATAACTAAATTAGAAAAACCTAGGGAAGGAGAAGGAAATTGCCAATTACAATGTAATTTTTGTAATCAATTAAATGTTTATTTTTTTATAATTTTAATAGTGTTATTTTGTATATTTTATTACCTTTTAATGATTTTTTTTTATTATAATTTTATGACATATAATAAATAAAATTAATTATATATATTGAACGTGTCCCCAGCTTGTCGCGTCTCCCATTTTTTGAAAATTTGCGTGTCCGCGTGTCCGTGTCGTGTTGCGTATCCGTGTCCGTGCTTCATAAGATTTAAATTATTATTATTATTATAAGGATATGTTGCATGACACTTAAAAAAAAAGAAAAAGAAAAGAAAAAAGAAAAAAGAAAAGAGAGATGCACCGCATAGGAGAGAATTTTTAAGGATAAACACTACATATATATACATATATATTATTTCAATCTAAATTCATGAATCAAACATAATGTAGAGGACATAGAAGAACTGATGTTAAGTAGATTATGGGTTTGCTTATTTGGAGCCTTTTTTCTTTAGCTTATTTTCGTTTGAATCTTGTTAAAAGAATTTCAAAAAGCTTCAAACTTCTAGATTTAGCTCATCAAGATTAGCGGAAAAATAAAAAAAAATCCACAAAAAATATAGAAAATTTCAAAATAAGCAAAAAAATAGTAGATTTTTTTAGTTTATTTTGCTTTTTTATTTTTATTTTTATTTTATTTTAATTTTTGATTTTAATTTTTAATTTTTTTATTTGTCTACAAAAGATGGATCAGGAAAAAAAAATTACATAATTTTTAAAAAATATCACCAAAAGTAAAAAATTTGGAAAATGAGGTGAGTTTTTTAAGAGTTTCCAAATAGCCTCCTATTTATGAAGTAGCGAAAGCTGATGCACCGACCACTTAAATGAATAGGATTGAAGTTTTTTCGAGGCATTGATCAACATAAAACGCCTAACCATATAGGGATAGCCTCTAGAATTAGATCCTCTAAAGAGTCTAGAGATTGGTGAGCATACCTACACATTTGAGCAAGAAAAGCATTAGGGTCCTCACCTACTCGTTAATGTTCCCCTCACGGTGAGGACCCACTTGACAGCACCATTAGGGAACATAGGGCTTATTGGAAGAAACAATAATTGTGTAATTTGATGTAATTTCTGTGGTTGATGTTCTTTCCTTCCAAAAAAAATAAAAATAAATAAATAATATTTTTTAAAAATAGATTTTAGGAAGGCTTATGACTGTGTTAGCTCAGAGTATTTGCTTAGACTGATCAAAGACAAGGGTTTGGAGAGAAATGATATCGGTTCCACAAAAAGAGCGTTGATTCTATCAAACAGATTGGATCAAAAAGGAAAATGTTATAGGTCCCAAATTTTCTACCAAATGAATGACCAAACCTCTCACATGAGTGTGGGGCCCATAAAAAGTGGACCCCACACCCATGTGAGAGGTTTGGTAATTCATTTGGTAAAATTTTTTGTATCTCTAGCATTACTCGATCAAAAAATACATATCCTATTGGTTCTTATTAATGATGGAAACTTAGGTCATAGGTCCGTTTTTAAATCTTTTGGGTCATTAGGCTTAAGCTCTAATTTTTTTGGGTTAAAATGACACAATCTGTACAAAAGGACAACTATCTGTTGAAATGAAATCAATATATCTCTTGAAATCATTCTATTTGTCCATCTGTTTAAATTCACCAAACTAACTATATGTTGAATTGTGACACATGTCACTCGTTCAATACTGTATCTATTAAATATCATATATTTCTTTACCTCACCACCACTACCTGCTGCTGCCGACTCTGGTCGCCAACGACTTTCCCGGCCAATTTTCTGGTGTGTTATTATCACAAAATAAGATTTTTTTTCTTGAATCTAATACCTTATACACTTTTTAGGATGAACTTTTCATCGATTTTTTCCATTAAGGAATCTCCTTTAGTGTATTTATAACTCAGAGAGGATTAAGTCAAGGAGATCCATTATCTCCATTCTCATAAAAAATTATTGGTGATGGTCTTAATATGCTGTTAAAGGAGTCACGTAAAATCAAAGTGGCTTCTTTTTAACTCGTTTGCATTTTTGCATATGATACCCTCATATTCTGTAATGCGGATCTTGATGAGCTATCGATGATTAAAAGCATTTCTTCGGTGTTTTTTGAAAATTTAATTTCAAAATGTCATGTCCGTGGAATAGGTACTGATGAAACTTTTTGTATTTGAGATTGTAGAATTGTTGAAATGTTGATATGGAGCTTTGCCAACCAAATACCTTATTTTACCTTTGGGAGACAATCCTAGAATAATTCAAACTAGCAATCTGTCATTGACAATTTTGAGAAAAAAAGCTATCTAGGTATGTATCATTTGGAGTTAGATTATCACTAATCAAATATACTTTATGGGATCTACCAGTTTATTATACATCTTTGTTCATGATGCCTAAGAAGGTAGAGACCGAGTTGGGAAAAATTTAAAGTAGATCTCTATTTCTTTGTAGGAATTTGAAGGACTTGAAATATGCTCTTTAAATGGGTGGTTTTGTGAAATGAGGATTTTTGGACTGATAATGTTTCATTAGGTGATGTTGATTCCAACTTGCAGACTCTGTTTTGGGCTCTGTTTTTGTAGACTCTGTTTTGGGCTCTGTTTTGCAGACTCTGTTTCCCATTTTGGTGTTCTACTTTTAGTTGGTTTTCTAGCCAACTTGTAACATCTTTGGCTTCCTTGGATTTGGGTCTCTATCATGAACAATTTAAAAAAAAAAAATTCATTTTTTTTACAACAAAATAAATGACATAAAGGAAAGGATATTCACACTCTTGTTTTAGTATCTAACACACCATTTGTTTAGCACCTAAATTTCATTGAACCGTGACAATAATATTTATGCATATTTTTTCTTCTTCTTCTTATGCTTTTGTTTTATTTATGCAATAACAGGTATATTGGAAAATATAGACAAAACTCTCAAGTTCATCCCAGGATTGTCGGCGGTCTCTGTGGACGACTTACCAGATGGAATCATCCTCGGAAACCTAGAATCACCAATTGCTCAAATGCTTCATAACATGGGACTAAAGCTGCCAAAGGCTGCAGCAGTGGTGCTGAACTCCTTCGAAGAGCTAGAGCCCGCCACCGCGAAAGATCTGAAGTCGAAGTTGCAAAAAGTGCTCCACGTGGGCCCCTCAATCCTATCATCACCAGCCTCATCAGACTCTGATGAGACTGGCTGCCTGGTGTGGTTAGACAACCAAAAACCTGCTTCTGTCGCATATATTAGCTTTGGCACCATAACCACCCCACCGCCTAACGAGGTTCTAGCATTGGCAGAAACATTAGTTTCTAGTAAAGTTCCGTTCCTTTGGTCACTCAGGGACCACTCGAGACACCTATTTCCAAAAGGGTTTGTCGAAAACACGGTGGCATTTGGGAAAGCGGTTTCCTGGGCTCCACAATTGCAAGTTTTGGCACATCTATCGGTTGGTGTGTTTGTGACACATTGTGGGTGGAACTCTATCTTGGAGAGTATCACTGGGGGCGTGCCAATGATTTGTAGGCCGTTCTTTGGAGATCAAACATTGAATAGTAGTATGGTACAGGATGCGTGGCGAATTGGGGTTAGGGTTGAGGGTGGAGTGTTTACAAAAAGTGGAACGACGAGTTCTTTGGAACTTGTTTTGTCCCAAGAGGAAGGGAAGAAAATGAGGGAGAACATCAAAGTACTCAAACAAAATGCCATAGAGGCTGTTGGACCAAATGGAAGCTCAAGTGAAAATTTTGAAGACTTGTTGGAGGTAATCAAAGCTTGTAAGCACCCTTAATTTTACTCTTTTTAAGAGACTTGTTCTTTTATTGCCTCAAATAAGCAAAACAATGGTGGTTGCGATGTTTATTTAGTTTTCATTGTGTTTTTTTTCCTATCCCTCTTGGATGTGAGAGGTTTCTTTTTGGTTTTTTGGGTGCTTATCCTCTTGGGTTCCAGGGAGTTTTTTTTTTTGTCTTTTTGGCAAGGCTGTGTGGCTCCCATACAAGAGGTGTTGTTCTTATATGTATTTTTATTTTTATTTTTATTTTTAAATGCTTTGCATACACAAAAGTAAATATAAATAAATGAAGAACAAGATTTTTTTTTTTCTGGTGTGGAAACCGTTGAGGGTAATGATTCAAATGAGTCCATTAATGCTTCAGCACATATGAAAGGTATATAGATCATAACAATACAGATATCAATCATCTTATGCCTAGTGCAAAGCTTTTGGGGGTGGGGGATGCATTTAATCCAAAAAATAATTGGCATTTTTTTTGTTTCTTGTTTTTTGGCGAGAGAGACCATTTGGAACCTAATTTTGATGTTATGTTAAACTTTTTTTAGAAGCATTTAACTAAAAAATAATTGGCTACTAATCAAGGGAAATTGAGATTTTCATGATGGGTTTTGTTGTATATGTAAGAATTTTTTTTCTAAATATGGCTTAATGTGGCTTGTACATGATTATACTAGATTCATCTCATTAAGTAAGATACATGTACATCAATTACATGGTAACTAATTATATATACATAATGTATTGAAGACTAATGGAGATAGTGTCAATACATTGAATGTGATAGATTCATTATGAATGAATCTTAGAGATGCATTATGTATCTATTATGTATCTATTTGGATGTAGAAGATATATTAATCTATCTAATGAGGTTCATTGAATGAATGGATTCTCTGATGGGAAGATTACTAGTATAAATAGTGTAAGATCCCAAACCACACTCTCTAACACAAAACTCATGTTGTTATCACAAGAAGGCTCCCATCGCCTAGAGAGAGAGAGAGAGAGAAGTGGTTTGAAGATCTTAGACAAATAAAGAACTTGAAGATCAAGGTCTTCTATTTAAGGTTTCTTTTTCTCAAAAGAGGTTTTCATACTATTATGGATCAATGTATATATACACTTATTTTGTACAGCAAAAATTCATATAGTTTTTATGTATAGAATTGATTCCTTAACGGCTTTAGTTTATGTTCCGCAAAGTTTTCTGTCAATTGGTGTCAGAGTTTTGGTTCTCAATTCTGATGCATGAAACGTATAAGTATGAATTTCATTTTATGATGATGTTTTGTATAACTAGTGCATAGCCTTGATTTACACTTGTCCAATTTTATCTTTGTTTTTTGTCAATCTTTTATTCTATTGATACTAAAACATAAAATTGTAAATTGTTGAACAAGTGGTAATTAAGATAATACCTTATGTACTTATAATGTTTTGTTACACATCTTATGAGTTGAAACATTGCTGATCAACCCAACGGAGATTCAACACTATGTATGTTTGAAAAATCGAGATGATTAGTATAATAAATATAGTAATAAGTTTTTCTGTCCAATGGTGATAAACTTCTCACGTGCTTTAGTTAATAAAATAATATAAGACTTTGTTTTTCTGCCCAACGATGATAAATTCGTTATGGTCTTAATGATTATTTTATTTTATGTTGTTTATTTTTATTAGTCATCTCATTTACTTTTATGAAATTGCTAAAATATATTGTTATTTGGCCCAACGAAATGATACCTTAATTTCGTATCTAACTAATTATATTTTCTAGTTAGATATATTTAACTTGTGGTGTTATTTTTATTCATGATATGTGAAAAGTAATTTTCTTGATTATATTAAGTTATGTAATGGATATTATGTGTTTGCAGCATTGAATCCTACTGCAATTAATAGTTACTTGTCTAGTATTGAAGTTTTGAGTGGAACTAATTTTAAAAAATGGAAGGAAGAAATTGGAAGGAATTGTGGATTTAGACTTTGCATTAAGAGAGCCAGCACCTACAAAGCCTAATGATACAAGTTCTAAGGAACACATGGCTTTATATGAAAAATGGGAACGCTCCAATCGCTTAAGTCTAATGATTATGAAAGGCTTAATTACGCCTGCAATTTAAGGAGCAATCCTTGCTTCTGAAAGTGCAGTGGGCTATATGAAATCTATTAAAGAACAATTCATTGGAACTTCCAAATCCCTTGCTAGTACTCTCATGATTAAAATGATGACAATGAAATATGATAGTTTGAGTGGTGTTCGTGAACATATCTTAAAGATGAATCACATGGTCTCTTAATTAAAGGGAATGGACATGGAAATTTCTAAAGGTTTTCTTGCTCATTTCATTATCACTTCTCTTCTTGTGCAATTTGGTCCTTTCAAGATCAATTATAATACGCAGAAAAATAAGTGGAAGATAAGCGAGTTAATTGCCATGTGTGTTCAAGAAGAAGAGAGGCATAAAGCTGAAAAGCTTGATATGCTCACCTTACCACCTTGGGTCCAACCAAAAAGATTTTAAAGAAAGGAAAAAGTAAGTAGAAGAAGAATGCAAATGATGAAACTCACAAGACTAATGAAGAAAATAAGATTCGATGTCATTTCTGTCGAAAGAAAGGTCACATAAGAAAAGACTGTCCAAGTTTTAAAGTTTGGTTGGACAAGAAAAGTAACACTTAATGCTTTGTGTCTTATAAATCCTTTTTGGTAGATGTCCCACCAAATTCTTGGTGGATTGACAATGGTGCAAGTATTCACATAACAAATTCCATATAGGGATACCTTACAAGTTGGAAACTAAATAAAGGAGAACGAACCATTATGGTCGGGAATGGAATACAAGTGGACGCTGAGGCTATTGGCACCCTCCGTCTAATTTTAGACTCTGGTTTCATTTTGGATTTAGTAAACACAGTTTATGTTCCTGTTTTTACTAGAAACCTAATTTCTGTTTCACAACTTGATTCCCGTGGTTATGAATTTAAGTTTGGAAATAATAGAGTCTCTTTATTCCACAATTCTCATATGATTGGTTCTGGTACTTTATATGGTAATCTTTATTCATTGAATTTAGATTCCACTTATGCACAATCTCTTTTATCCTTTCATGTAAACGACTTGGTAAATAAAAAGAGAAAGCGAGTGAATGAAAATTCATCCATGTTATGGCATAAGCGCTTGGGCCACATATTAAGAGAAATGATGGAATATCTTATTAAAGACGGAATTTTAAGTTCACTTGATTTTTCTGATTTTAGTACTTGTGTGAATTGCATTAAGGAAAATGCACAAAGACAAAGAAAAAGGGTGCTACTAGGACTACTGAATTATTAGACATAATTCATACTGATATATGTAGTCCCTTTACTATTCCAAATATTTCTGGACATAAATATTTTGTTACTTTTATTGATGAATTTTCTAGGTATACTTATGTGTATCTTATTCATGAAAGATCAAAAGCACTGGATATGTTCAAACTCTATAAAGCTGAAGTTGAAAATCAACTTGGCAGGCAGATTAAAAATGTAAGATCTGATAAAGGCGATGAATCTTATGGTGGATTCATTGAGTTGGGTCAAAATCCAAGTCCTTTTGCTTTATTTTTAGCTGAAAATGGTATTGTTGCTAACTACACAATGCCCGGTACACCTGAGCAAAATGATGTAGCTGAGCGACGAAACCATACTCTTTTGGACATGATGAGAAGCATGATGAGTAACTCTTCTTTGCTAGATTACTTGTGAGATGAAGCTTTAAAAACTATTGCACATGTTCTTAATAGGGTTCCTAGTAAGGCTACGCTTGTAACTCCTTATGAGTTGTGGGTTGGTAGGAAACCTAATTTGAATTATTTACATGTATGGGATTGTCCTGCTGCAGCAAAAATCTTCAACCCACAAATAAAGAAATTAGACACTAGAACTATAAGTTGTTATTTCATTGGATATACTGAGAGATCAAAGGGTTTTAGATTCTATTGTCCCACTCATAGCACAAGAATTGTTGAAAGTAGAAATGTTGTGTTCTTAGAGGATGAAGACATTAGTGGGAGTATGAATCTAAAAAATGTTCTTTGGAGAAAACTCGTGCTTTTACGCCTTCCACGATTATCCAAGAAAATGAAGTACCTGAACCTATTGGTACTCAAGAGATTTCTCACATTGAAAAATAAGTTGTCCCAGCTACAGAACAACCTTTATGCAGATCACAAAGAGAAAAGAAACCAGCCCTATCAGATGACTATGAGGTTTACCTAAATGAGTGTGATATAGGCTTAGAGAATGATCCTGTTTCTTATGCCCAAGCCATGAATAATGAAAATGCAACTCAATGGTTAAATACCATGAAAGATGAGTTAAAATCCATGAAAGACAACAATGTCTGAGATCTTGTAGAATTGCCTAAGGAAGCCAAACTGTTGGATGCAAATGGGTTTTTAAAACCAAGCGTGATCCTAAAGGCAATATCGAAAGATACAAGACCAGATTAGTTGCTAAAGGATACACTCAAAGAGAAGGGATGAACTATAAGAAAACTTATTCTCCTGTTTCTAATAAGGATTCCTTGAGAATAGTCATGGCCTTAGTAGCTCATTATGATTTACAGTTACATTAAATGGACGTTAAAACAACATTTTTAAATGGTGACTTGCATGAAGTGGTCTACATGGACCAACCTGAAGGTTTTCAGGATGGAAGCAAGGAAAATATGGTTTGTAGGCATCTCGACAATGGTATCTTAAATTTCATGAAGTTATCACAAAATTTGATTTTAAGGATAATGTGGTTGATCAATGTGTCTACCTTAAAATCAGTGGGAGCAATATCTGCATTATAGTTTTGTATGTTGATGATATATTGCTTGCTAGCAATAATTTGGGAATGATATATAAGACAAAGCAATTCCTTATGAGGAATTTTGAAATGAAAGATCTTGGTGAAGCCTCTTTTTTCATTGGGATAGAAATTCATCGAGATAGGTCTCTTGGTATTTTAGGATTGTCTCAAAGAGCCTATATCGAAAAGATTTTTAAAAGGTTCAACATACAGAACTGTTCAAGACGTGTTGCCCCTATAGTTAAGGGTGATAAATTTACTGAATTTCAGTGTCCCAAAAATAATTTAGAAAGGGAACAAATGAAAGAAATTCTTTATGCCTCTGTAGTTGGGAGCATTATGTATGCTCAAGTTTGTACACGTCCTGACATAGCATTTGTAGTTGGTATGCTTGGTCGATACCAAAGCAATATTGGACTTGATAATTGGGAAGCAGTTAAGAAAGTGTTACAATATTTAC